GTTGCCCCTGGATGACAGCACCTGCTGCCATGACCCAGTACACCCAGCCCCACAGCCATGACCTTGTGCCCCTGGACAATTGGCTCTGCTGCTGCAATCCAATGCCACTGGACACACGGACCAGTCCCCTCAACCTGGAGTCTCCAGATGATCAGATCCCCCGGATGACTGGACCACTAAAATGGGAAGTCAAAGAAACAACCCCAAATGAAAGAGAAGGAGGAATCAGCAGAAAAAGAACTAAATGAAATGGAGGCAAGCAATTTATCAGATATAGAGTTCAAAGTAATGGATAGAAGGATGCTCAAGGAACTTAGTGGGAACTATGTTAGCAAAAAAAAGATGTAGAAACCATGAATAAGAATCAGTCGGAAATGAAGAATGCCATCGCTAACATAAGAATACCCTGGAAGGGATCAACAGTACATTAGAAGAAACTGAGGACTGAATCAGCAAATTAGAAGACAGGTAGGAAAAAACACCCAATCAGCAGCAATTAGAAAAATAAAAAGCAGGAGAAAAGTTTAAGGGAGCTTTGGGACAATATAAAATGTAATAACATCTGCATCATAGGTACACCAGAAGGAGTAGAATCTGAGCAAGGACAGATAACCTGTTTGAAGAAATAATGACAGAAAACTTCCCTAACCTGGTGAAGGAAATAAGTCACACAACTTCAGGAAACACAGAGAGTCCCAGTCAAAATGACCCACATCTGGACACATTATAATAAAAATAGCAAAAGTTAAAGACAAAGAATCTTTTTTTAAAAATCTTCAGTGAGGATACTTTCCCAATGATTTTTAGATAGAGTGGGAATGGGGAGGGAAGGAGGGAGAAATAGAGAGAGAGAGAGACAGACAGACAGACAGACAGACAGACATCAATGTGTGAGAGACATATCAATTGGTTGCCTCATGCACGACCCTGACCAGGGCTGGGAACCTAACCTGCAACCAAGGTATGTGCCTTTGACTGAGAATTTAACCCACAACTCTTTGGTCTGTGGGTCAACACTCTAACTGATGAGCCAAAGTGGCCAGGGCCAAAGAAAGAATCTTTTTTTAAATCCTCACCCAAGGATGTTTTCTCAAATATCTTCAGATAGAGTGGGAGGGGGAGAGAGAAAGAAACATTGATGTGAGAGAGACACACCAACTGGTTGCCTCTCACATGATCCCAACCAGGGCTGGGAACTGAACTGCAACCCAGGTACATGCCCTTGGCCGGAATTAAACCCACAATTCTTTGATCCGCAGGCTGACACTCTACCACTGAGCCAAACTGGCCAGGGCAAAGAAATAACCTTAAAGGCAGCAAGAGAGACAGAAAGTTACCTATGAGGGAGTTCCCATTAGATTGTCAGCTGATTTCTCAATAAAAACACTTCAGACCAGAAGGCAGTGGCATGAAGTATACAAAGTAATGAAAACTAAGAGACTGATCCAAGACTACTCTATTTAGCAAGGCTATCATTTAAAATTGAAGGCAAAATAAAGAGCTTCCTAGACCAAAAAAAAAAAGGCAAAGGAGGACATTTTGACCAAACCAGCACTGCAAGAAACGCTAAAGGGACTGCTTTAAGAAGAAAACAAGAGAAAGATAAAGAAAAAAATGGCAACAAATGAGTACTTATCAATAATAACCACAAATGTAAATGGACTAAATACTCCAATAAAAAAAACACAGGGTAGCTGAATGGATAAGAAAACATGACATACACACACACACACACACACACACACACACACACACACACTGTCTATAAGAGACTCACCTTAGAACGAAATATTCACACAAACTGAAAGTGAAAGGATGAAAAAAATATTCTATGCAAATGGAGACCAAAAAAAAAAGCTGGAGTAGCTATACTCTATCTGACAAAACAGACTTCAAAACAAAGGCCATCAGTTTGGCTTAGTGGTTATAGTGTCAGCCTGCGGTCCAAAGAGACCCGGGTTCGGTTCCTGCCAAGGGCATGTACCTCAGTTGCAGTTTGTCCCTGGCCCTGGTTGGGTTGTGCGGTTGGCAGCCACTCAATGTGTCCCTTTCACGTTGATGTTTTTCTCTCTCTCTCTTCCTCTCTCTCCCTCCCACTCTGAATAACAACAAAAAAGGAAAAATGTCCTCGGGTAAGGACAAAAAAAAAAGGTCCAGACGCGTGGAGGCATGGAACAGACTGACATATCCTGGGGGGGGAGGGGGGGGGCGGGGAGGGCGTGCAGGGAAACAGGAAGAGATTAACAAAAAGAATTTACATACACTTGTGCATAACCAATGGACACAGACAGTAGTGTGGTAAAGACCTGTGGTGGAACAGGGCTGGGAGGAGGAGGGTAAGGGTAGGGGTCGGGGGTGGGAGGGGATGGGAGATATCTGCAATACTTTCAACAATAAAATAATACAAATAAAAAATTTTAAATACAATAAAAATGTGGGTGAATTTTATGCAAGATGCAACTATATATGATTGGTAAAAGAAACATACTTTAAATGCAAAGACACAAATGGGTTGAAATAAGAGAATTATAAAAGGCTTTATTTAAAAACTAGTTAAGAATAAGTTAGAGACAAGCAGAATGAAATTAGAATAGCCCAAATTCTTTGAAAATTGAACACTGTCCTTCCAAATAATAAAAATGTCAGTTAAAAAAATCACAAGTGAGATTAGAAATATTTTAATCGTTACTTAAAACATTTATCTTTATTGTTGAAAGTATTATAGGTGTCCCCGCTCCCCTTGATTGACCCCCTCCTCCCTGCTCCCACCCCTTCCTCCCAAGAATTTTTAAAGGGAAATTTAGCTTTAAAGGGATATATTAGAAAAAATAGTTTATAGTTAATGATCTAAGCTTCCACCTTAAAGAGAAAAATAGATGAGCAAAATACAATAAAGAGGAACCTCTTTTTAAATATTTGTATTACTTGTCAAGAGTTCCCCTTTTTTATTTCTAATATTAGTTATTTGTGCCTTTGCACTTTTTTTAAGTCAGTCTTGACAAGTGTTTGTCAGTTTCATTAGTCTTCTCTAATTTTTAGCTTTTTAAATTTTGTCTATTATATATTCACATTTTATTTAACCATTTCTACTTTCACCTTTATTATTTCATTAACCCATACATTTGGCTAATTTTGATGCAATTTTTAGGTTGGAGAATTATATCTTAATATATAAGCCTTTTTCTTTTTCTAGTATGCTAAATTAAGGGTATACAATTCTTTTTATGAACTGTTCAGTTTTAGCCCATATATATTTGCTATGTGGCTTTATTTCTGTCATTCAAGTCCTAATTTTTTATTTATTTATTATTTTTTTAACATCCTCACTTGAGGATACTTTTTCATTGATTTTTAGATAGAGTGGGAGGTAGAAAGGGAGAGAGAGAGGTGAGAGAGACACCTCAATTGGTTGCCTCCTGCACTACCCCCACTGGGGCCTGGGATTGAACCTGTAACCAAGGAACATGCCCTTGATAGGGAATTGAACCCACAACTCTTCATTCCATAGGCCAACACTCTAGCCACTGAACCAACATGCCAGGGCCAATTCCTAATTTTTTAAAATTGATTTTTAGGGAGAGAAGAAAGGACAGAGAGAGAAACATTGATGTGAGAGCAAAACATCCATCAGCTGCCTCCCACATGCCTGGATGGAGCCCAAAATCTGAGCATGTGCCCTCACCAAGCATTGAACTGGCAACCCCTTGGTGCATGGGACGACGCCCAACCAACTGAGCTACACCAGCTAGGGCCCTAATGTTTTTTAATTTCCATTGTGATTTCTTCTTTGACCTTTGGGTTACTTAGAAATGGTTTTTTTTCCCCCTAAAATTTCAAATATATGATAATCTAGTTAGTATTTTCTTATTGAAAATTTGGTCACTGTGCTCAAATTTGTGGACCTTTATTCAATTTCTCAGCCTCTTCCAAAATTGGCAGTTGATCCCAGGGGAAGAGACCCAAATGTAGAGCTCATGTCTCTGAGGCTCCTTTTCCTCCAGGATCTTCTCCCTGTTACCTCTTCACTGCCTTGTTGATTCTCCAGTTCCTTTAAATTGACTTTCATATATTTTGTCCAGTTTTATTATCTGTTCTCAGCAAGAGGCTTGATCTAAATGATTTTGTCTGCCATTACCAAGTAGGGAACCCTTGTTGATGGTGATTTTTATTGTTACTGTTGTTGTAAGACAAAGAAAGAATGGGGGTTGGAGTATGTCATGGATAGAGAGACCAGTAAAAGATCCAGTTGAGATCTTTTGAAAGTTTTGAAAAACAAAACTTTGACCAAAGAATGGAATGAAGAGGAGAAATAAGTTGATACTTGTATTAGTTATCCATTGTTTTATAACAAATTACTACAAATTTAATGGCTTAAACATGGTTTCTATTATTGACTATCTCAGAATTTTTATGGGTAGCTGGGCCCTCTGCAATCAAAGTGTCAGCCAGAGCTGGGATCTCATTTGAAGTTACAACAGAATAAGGATCCATTTCTAAGTTCCCTTACATAGTAGTTGGCAGAATTCACTTATTTGGGAGCTGTTTGACTCATCACCTTAGTTTCTACATAATTGTTGGCTAGAACCCTGGCCAGTTTGGTTCAGTGGTTAGAGTGTTGGCCCACAGACTGGAGTCACAGGTTCGATCCAGTCAAGGGCACGTACTTCGGTTGTAATTTAGTCCCTGGTCCTGGTCAGGGTCAAGAGGGAGGCAACCAGTCAATGTGTGTCTGTCTGTCTGTCTGTGTCTCTCCTTCCCACTCTATATGAAGATAAATGGAAAAATACCCTCGGGTGAGGATAAAAAATAATAATAATAATTGTTGGCTACATTTTGCTTGTCACACAGTTCTTTCCATAGAGCAACTCACAATATGGCAGCTTTCTTCATCAAAGCCAGTAAGTGATAGAGAGTACTGGCAAGATCGAAGTTACAGTCCATGGAATTCAATCACAGAAATGGCATTCCTTCACTTTTGCCATATTCTATTGGTTAACAGCATGGCACAGCTCCTACCCGTAATCAAGGAGAGGGGATTATTCAGAGATGTGAATACCAGAATATGGAGCTTATTCAAGGTCATTTTATACTTTGTTTGCCATAGTACTCACTTCCTTTCTCTGGAAACATCAGAAACAAATGGACAGCAAACTAGAGAAACAATAGTTATTACGGCAGACAACTTCTGGAAAAGAAGAAAATAAAATATCAAATCCTAAGTAACAAGGAAAAAAGCCTAACTTTCATAGAAAGAAACTGTAATTAGACAAAAATGGAACTATAAAAATATTCCTGGCCTCTTCTAAGATTTAACCCGGGAGAATGGGTCCTAGGAAGCTATCTAGCTGAAAAGAGAAGTGAGTTTATCTGGAGGTCTTGAATGTTTATGTAGAAATAGAAACAAAACAGTATTTGTTATGATGTGAATTGGTTTTGCCTCCTGTATTCAACAGACTATTCCATGACTTTTTGAGTTTACTTCATTAATATTTCAAATGTGTTCTAACTTTTTTTTATTAAGCACCTCAATAATTTTGAGGGTAGAGATTATATCCTGTTTATCAAAGTATGTAGTCCCATTAGTTCTCTTCTTTGAAACTATATAGTTATCTGTAGTGTTCATTGCATAGTTGAAAATGCTGCATATCAATTTTACACCTGATAAAATACACAGCTATGTTAATAGGCTTTCTATTTTTATATAGGATCCAAATGAAGATACAGAATGGAATGAAATTTTAAGAGATTTTGGCATTCTTCCTCCAAAAGAAGAGCCAAAAGATGAAATTGAAGAAATGGTTTTACGTTTACAGAAAGAAGCAATGGGTATAGTTGTGTGTTTGGTGGGCTGGATGAAGAGGATAATACAGTTATCTAAGTGATTGTGTATTTCATGAACTTAAAGGGAGAGAGGACATAAGAAATAATTTCGTATATCCGATTTTGCTGATAGCTAAAATTCCTAATTCATGTGTTGAAATTCACATACTAGTTAATAACAGAGTTGAAATGTCCTGGTATCTCACCTAGTAAGCTTTTCTTTATTTCTCTCTCTACCGTATTTCTCTACCTTGTGATTACCTTAAAATAGTTTGATCCTTGTATATAGTATATATTATTTGAAACTCTAAATTGATGGGGTCTAGTTTATTTTTACATCTACTTTTAAATGTAGCCTGGTAGGTCTCTGAACTGTGAGGGAGTAATAACACTTTAAACAAACCTGAAGCAGTCAACCACAAATAACTTTATATATTGCAGACACTGCAGCATTAAAGATAGTCTTGATCTCCATGTGTTTATCTTTTTTTTAGACATGTGACTATAAAGTAAAATCAATTTTTAAACAACTCAATTGTCTACAATTTATTTTGTTTTAGTTAAACCGTATGAAAAGATGACTCTTGCACAGTTGAAGGAAGCTGAAGATGAATTTGATGATGAAGATATGCAAGCTATTGAAACATATAGGTACAGTGATACATTATAAGTTTTGGAATGAAGAACTGTTAGAAGGAAGCTAAGATAAAGCCCTATTTTTTTCCTACAGAATAGAATTAAAAAAACAACAAAACTAATTTTTAAGTAAGATTTTAAAACCAACTTACTCATATAAGGTAGATTTTTTTCCTGAAATTTTTTTGCCTTTGCTTAAATTAAAAGATATCCAATAATGTACCACAGCATTTTATGAAGTGACATATGAGTACAGTGAAAAATATCAGTAAACAGTCAATAAAAAGAGGGCCATGACTTTGCTTCTAGCATGATGTCTACAAATGGCTTCTATCATTTAATAATTAATTGTTAGTCATAAATTCTCTCAGAAATTAGAATAGATGCATACATTACCCAACTTATCTTGATAATAATAACAGAAATTATAAAAATGCTATGCTATAGAAAAATATCACTTATGAAAGTAGGCACAAAATTTTATTTATTTACTTTTTTATCCTCACCCGGGGATATTTTTTTAATCTTTATTGTTGAATGTAGAATGTATTACAGATGTTCCACATTTTTCCCCCATTGACCCCCTGCTCCCCACTCCCGCCCCCCTCCCGCCTTTTCCCACACTATTGTCTGTGTCCATTGGTTATGCATATAAGTTCTTTGGTTTATTTCTTCCCATCCCCCAACCCCTTTCCCTGTGAGGTTTGTCAGTCTAGCAATGAATTTGTACTTCTTAATCCCTTCACCTTTTTCACCCATTCCCCCAACTCCCCTCCCATCTGGCAACCAACAAAATGTTCTCTGTATCTATGAGAATGTTTCTGTTCTACCTGTTCATTTTGTTTGTAGATTCCATTGTCGATAGATATGTATTCATTGCCATTTTGTTTGTTCATACATTTTATCTTTTTCTTCAAAAAGACCCTTCATCATTTCATATAATAACAGTTTGGTGGTGATGAACTCCTTTAACTTTTTCTTGTCTGGGAAAGTCCTTATATGGCCATCGATTCTAAATGACAGCTTTGCAGGATAGAGTAATCTTGGTTGTAGGTTCTTGCTTTTCATCACTCTGAATATTTCTTGCCACTCCCTTCTGGCCTGCAAAGTTTCTTTTGAGAAATCAGCTGACAGTCTTATGGGAACTCCCTCATAGGTAACTAGCTGCCTTTCTCTTGCTGCTTTTAAGATTCTCTCTTTGTCTTGAACCTTTTGCATTTTGATGATGATGTGTCTTGGTGTGGGCCTCTTGGGGTTCATCTTGCTTGGGACTCTCTGTGCTTCCTGGACTTGTATGTCTGTTTCCTTCACCAAGTTAGGAAAGTTTTCTGCCATTATTGTTTCAAACAGGTTTTCGATTACTTGTTCTCGCTCTTCTCCTTCTGGCACCCCCAAGATGCGAATGTTGGCACGCTTGAAGTTGTCCCAGAGGCTCCTTACACTATCCTAATTTTTTTGGATTCTTTTTTCTTTTTGCTGTTCTGATTGGGCGTTTTTTGCTTCCTTATATTCCAAATCGATGGTTTGCTTCTTGGATTTACGTACTCTACTATTGAAGATGTGTAAATTATTCTTTATTTCAGTTAATGCCTCCTTCATTTCTGACTGTGCATCCATCATTTCTGACTGGTCCTTTTTTATGCTCTTGAGGCCCTCACTAAGTTCACTGAGGTTCTCACAGAGTTCATTGAGCATCCTTATAAGCGGTATTTTGAACTCAGCATCTGTTAGGTTGCTTATCTCCATTTCGCTTAGTTCTTTTCTTGGGGTTTTGTTCTCTTCTTTCATTTGGGACCTGTTTCTTTGTCTCCTCATTCTGGCTGCCTCCCTGTGTTTGTTTCTGTGTATTACTGTACGAGAGGTATGGGGCTAGCTGAGACCAGATGCTGCTTGTTTGAAAGGATTTAGGAAAACCTGAAGCAGGATCCAAGACAGGCCAATCCTCTGGTTAAGCAAGTGGCAACAGCTTGGGTGGGCCTGAAAGCTGGGTGGGGCGGGGCCTCAGGGAGTCACCAGGGCGGGGCTACCAGTGTGAGCTAGTTGCTGGAGTCCCAGATATGGTTTCTGTCTGCTGCCCCAGGGAAGGGCTCACCAAACAAAGGCCTCTGACAGCACGTTTGTCCCGGAGAAAGCCCCCTCTCCAGCCTTCGCTCCAGTGCCACACAGCTCAGTTCTTCCCTGTATGTCTCTGGTGCCCCTGGAGCTGCCTCCCCTCCAAGCTTAGAGGGAGTGAGTTCAATAAGTTGTGCGCGGTCCCTTTAAGGAGCTGCCTGGGGCTCCAGCCGCCTCAGCTTCCCTGAGCCTCAGTTCCCGCTGGTTTTTCCAGCCAGAAGTTATGGGGATTCTCTTCCTGGCACTGGAACCCTGAGCGGGGCACCTGGTGTGGGACATGGATCCCTCAGTCCTCAGGAAGGACCTTCCCAGCCGAGGTATCCTCCTGACTTTTATCCGCCACACGTGGGTGTGGGACCAGCCCATCTCGCCACCGGCCCTCGCGCCTCTGCCCCTCCGCCCCTCCTACCAGTCTGGATGTGGCTGCTGCTTTAATTCCATAGTTGTAGGACTTCCATTCAGCTTGATTTCAGGCAGTTTTGAATGATGGTTGTTCTGTAGTTTAGTTGTAACTTTGATGTGGTTGTGGGAGGATGCGATACCGCGTTTACCTACCTGCCATCTTGACCGGAAGTTGGGAACAAAAACTTTTTGAAAGATATTAAGCCAATGAGATCAAATGGAGGAAATTGATGCTAAATACTCAGTGCAAACAAAATTCAGCTCCCAAAAGATCTTTGGGGTAATTGTAAATTCTAATATCTGGGTCAGTAGAGGGAAAACTAAAGGACTTCAGTTTGAAAATTGTGAGAGGGCTGTAGGCATGGATTGTTATTCTTGGCATTCTCCGCTAGGCTTCCTTTTGCTTGAATTACTTGTTACATAGAATGGTTTTACCTGACATGTTTCTAATACATGAAATAAGGACAGAGTGTTTTAAAATACACCCAGGATTTTGTGTTTATTCAGGTATGTGAAGCCAACAGATCAAGAGATAATTGCGAGTGAAAAGATAGTTTTTTTTTACTCCAAGTTCTCAAGAATAGGGGGCATGCACCACAATGCAAGGCCACACAGGGAAACACTAGAGTTGGTTGAGAGGCAGTAGTGAAGGAATAGATAGCATGGACACTAGCCTTATTGTGGTTTCCATGGGAAAGGCAAACTAAGCTGGGTAAGCAGATTTAGGATTGGCTAATTTAAATGCTTTTGGCAGGCTGTGGGCTACCGTGGCTGTCTCTAGTTGTCTGGTGCCTGGTCCAAGGATAATTAGGGCAGAAGGATAGTGGCTCAGTTTATTGAAGAAGGTAATTGAGGGACTGAGATCTGGATTGGTTGGTTTGCTTGAGGAATTTGTTCTCCAGCAAGAGGTTGCTATCGTTTGGAACTAGCTAGACCTGGGAGGGGCAGTCTGTCCAGGATCAGCAAGGCCCTAGATGCCAGAGCATCAAGAATACAGAAAATAAGAAAATATAGTTAATACACAGAAAGAAGGAAAGTATTTCCAAGACCACTTAGAGATGTACAATCAGTAAATTCTAAGAAACTTGTACATACATCAGAAACCATTTGGATCTGCTTCATGAATCCAAGCTTTTAACAACTGAATCAGAGTATGTAAATTTCGAGAGTTGTTTAAGCAAGTTTTAAAGCTCCCTATGGGTGAATAACTAGGTAACATGGATTGCTCACTCTGTGCTAGGCACCATCCTAAGAAATTTACCTATGTTATTTCATTTAATTCCCAACAACCCCATGCAAGTAGGTACTGGATTATTCCCATTGCAGTTGGGGAAACTGAAGCTTAGAGAGATCAAATAACTTGCCCAAGTTCATGCTGCTAGTAAGTGGGAACTGGTATTTAAACCTAGTTTAGCCTAACCTTAGATTTCAAACTCATAATTCTTCTCTACCTGCAATAACTTTTGTAACAAGTAATTATACATATTCAAAAAGGCTTTGGACTGAAGGACCGCTTTAGCATGATAGTTAAGAGCATGTAAATGGGGATAATAATAATAATAACTTTATAAAGTTTTTGCAAGGATTAATTAATGGAATGCACTTAAAATAGTGCCTGGCAACATAATAAGCACTCCATAAATGTTAGCCATTATTATGATTATTATATTTTCTCCCTTAATAAGTATTTAACCTGCATTTGAGAATTTGTTGGTTTAATGTGTAAATAAACTCTTTATAAGTATGATTAAGGCCTAGTCTTAAATAAAAATAAATTTAAAAGCCAGTAGCTAACTTTTTACTTGCAGTATCCGTGGTAACACAGATTCCAATATAAACAGAGAAATTGGCATTGTAACACCATTAATAGTTATTCTATCATTTTTAAAGTGTTTAATATGTACTAGCATTGCATTCATTATCCTAAATTGTTACTGTACATGGGAATGACCTTAAGAATATAACAATTTTCTTACATAATTTTATTTAATTATTTTAATTAGGGAGAAGCGGTTACAGGAATGGAAAGCTCTTAAGAAAAAACAAAAATTTGGGGAATTAAGAGAAATTTCTGGAAATCAGTATGTGAATGAAGTCACAAATGCAGACAAAGATGTATGGGTTATAATTCACCTATACAGATCAAGGTAATTATTTTTTGTAAAATATTAATATACTAATGTTTTAAGATAAATATTTCTGGTTTTAAGGGTTTATAAAGCATATAACAAAGAGTACTCACAAAAAGGAAATATATGTATATACAACTTAAAAATATGTGTAGAATCATTGGCTTCAGGGATTAAATTAGGTATTTTAATATATTTTCTTGTCTAATTGAAAGAACTTGTCATACTTTTTAGAAAAAATAAGAATTCTTTGGCAATTAATTTAAATAAAACTATGGAAAATTTCAAACATATAGAAAAATAGAAATAAGGATAAAATGAGTCACCTAAATACTGGCCAGGTAGATTCAACAGTTAACCTTTTGCCATATTTGTATTGCGTGTGTGTGTGTGTGTGTGTGTGTGTGTATGCAGAACCATTTAAAAGTAAATTACACACAGCTTGATACTTTTATTTTAAGTACTTTAGCTTGCATTTTCAAAACATAAGGGCATTTTTCTGTATAACCACAATATCACTCACTGAACGATAGCATTTACTTACCTAACAAAGTTAACAATAATTCCTAATAGCATCTAATACCCAGTCATTACTCAAATTTTTCCAACTGACTTCAAAATGTTTTTTATAAAAACATATGTTTTTGAATAGGATCCAGTCAAAGACTAGGCAGTGCATTTGGATATATAATATCTCTTTTAACAGAACAATTTACTTGCATGCCCCTGTCCCCCCCGAGTTAATTTTAGGGTGCCTAGCTATACTAAATATAATCCATATGTCCCTCTACCTCATCAGCCTAGTATAATGATAATTGGGAAGAGTAGACTCTTCCCAAACTCTGTGCCAAAGAGGAGCTGCAAACTCCCATAGTTTCACAAATCTCTCCTAGAAACAGCACCTCTAGCGTTAGGTCCCAGGCCCTCTGCCTGGGCTCCAAGCCAGTCTAGTAACAGGGTCCACGACAGTAGCCCTCAATGTCCTTACTTTATTCTCTAAATAAAAACATGTCTTCCCTCTTCAGGTCCTCAGAGAAATTCTGTACAGAGCAATTTATGCAAATTAGAGCCCTGTTGTTTACCAGCTCACCAGTTCCTCAGACAAATTTTGATAGGAATCATACTCCATAAAAGAGGACATTATTTTTACTATAACTAAAATGCTTGGTATATAATTTTTAATAGTTTAAAGTCTTAAAAATAATCATTTCCCATTTATCCTATCTCATTTATCTGACTAAACCAATTTGGAGACTTGCTGATTTTGGTTCTTCACAAATAACTATGTGAAACAGCAACATTTACAATAAAGAGGTTGAATACATTTTAGTCTCAGGGTTTTTTAAACTGTTATATGCTTTGATGGACTTAAAGAGTAAGGATCCTTTTTTGTAATATTTTAAATATTTGTGAACTCAGGAGGGTTTTTTTTTGGCAATCTAAGAAAGTTATATAAAATGATAGTTTTCTTGACATTAAGAAAATGCATTCATGTGTCAGTATAAAACATTCATTTTAAGAAAATTAATCTATAATCAAATTTGTAAAATGGAAAAAAATTATTTGTATTAAAAATATTCCTTATAAAGTCTAGTTTTTAGTAATGGATTTACTCATAACTTTTATATTATAAAATGAAGTATAACTATGAAGTTTGTATTTCTAGCTGCTTTTTATAATTATAGAAGGGTAAGAATATTTTTTTATTAGCTGGAACATATGGTAGTTCTATTTCTAATTTATGAGGAACCTCAATACTGTTTTCCATAGTTAGTACCAGTTTACATTCCCACCAACATGGTTTCCTTTACTCTGCATCCTCACCAACACTTGTTATTGTCTTTTTTATAACAGCCATTCTAATGTGTGTGAAGTGATTACTCATTGTGGTTTTGATTTGCATATCCCTGATGATTAGTGATGTTGAGCACCTTTTCATGTGCCTGTTGGCCATCTGTGTGTCTTCTTTGGAAAAATATCTATTTAGATCTTCTGTCTCCCCTTTTTTTTAAATCCTCTCAAGGATATTTTTCCATTTATCTTCAGATAGGGTTGGGGGAGAGAGAAACATCGATGTGAGAGAAACGCATTGACTGGCTGCTTCCCTCACAACCCCGACCAGGGCCAGGACCAAACCGCAACCAAGGTATGTGCCCTTGACTGGAATTGGACCCGAGACTCTCTGGTCTGTGGGCCAACACTCCAACTGCTGAGCCAAACCGGCCAGGGCTCTTCTGTCCATTTTTTATTTGATTGTTTAGATTTTTGCTATTGAATTGTATGAGTTATATTTTGGATATTAGCTCCTTATCAGATATATGACTTTCAAATATTTTCTCCCATTCAGTCGATTGCCTTTTCATTTTGTTGCTGGTTCTTGTGCTTTGCTTTTTAGTATGATGTAGTTCCATTTCTTTATTTGTGTTTCTGTTGCTTTTAGTTTTGGTTTTAGGTTTAAAAAAAAAAATCACTGCTAAGACCTATGTCAAGGAGCTTACTGCCTATTTTCTTTAGGAGTTCTGTGGTTTCAAGCCTTATATTCAAGTCTCTAATCCATTTTGACTTAATTTTTGTCTAGTATCATTCTTTTGCACGTGGCTGTCCAGTTTTTCCAATGCCATTTATTAAACAGATTGTCCTTTTCCCATTGTATATTCTTGGCTGGCTCTTTTGTCATAAAAATAATAGACCATATATGTAGGGGTTTAATTCTGAGTTCTCTATTCTGTTCCACTTATCTATGTGTCTGTTTTTATGCCGGTACCATACTGTTTTAATTACTATAGTTTTGTGGTATAGTTTTAAATCAGAGAGTGTAATGCCCCTTGCTTTGTTCTTCTTTCTTAAGATTGCTTTGGCTATTCAGGTACTTTTTGTGGTTCTATACAAGTTTTAAAATTATTTATTATATTTCTTTGACAAATGCCATTGGATATTTGATAGGGATTGCACTAAACCTATAGATTGCCTTGGGTAGTATGGGCATTTTAACTATATTGATTCTTCCAATTCATGAGCATGGAATATCTTTCCATTTATTTGTTTTTCGCTTCAATTTCTTTCATTAATGGCTTGCAGTTTTCAATACATAGATCTTTCACCTCCTTGGTTAAATTTATTCCTACATATTTTATTCTTTTTGATGCAATTACATATGGGATTCTTTTCTTTTTCGTTCTGATAGTTTATTAGTGTATAGAAATGCAACAGATTTTTATATATTGATGTTTGTATCCTTCAACTTCACTGAATTTGTTTTTTAGTTCTAACAGGTTTTTGGTGGAGCCTTTTGGGTTTTCTATATACAATATCATGCCACCTACAAATGGTGACAGTTCTGCTTCTTTCTTTCCAATCTGGATGCCCTTTATTTCTTTTTCTTAACTAATTGCTCTGGTTAGGACATCCAGTGCTAATGTTAAATAAAAGTGGTGAGAATGTGCATCCTTGTTTTGTTCCTGATCTTAGAGGAAAAGCTTTCAGCTTTTCACTGCTGAATACAGTGTTAAGCTGTGAGCTTGTGATATATGGCCTTTATTATGTTGAAATACATTTTTCTATACACACTTTGTTGAGATATTTTTAATTTTGTGAAACAAGTTTAGCAAAAAATACATTGTAAATAAAAACCAGAATAAAGAAGAGATAAAGAGAAACCAAATAAAAATAATAAAATTCATCTCCCAAGTGTTGATTAGAACTTAGTGCATTTTAATTGATTTCCATTGTCAGAGTTTGTTTAAATGGAGCAAGAACTCAAATACATGCAAAACAATTTGAGTGCAGAAATCTATATTTTCCCCTGATCGCTTACATTTGTCTGGCCCACATCTAAACATCATTTTTTCTTAGTAATTAACCTTTGTCAAGTTTTTCTAAAGCACGTATTAGATTTTCACAAGAACTACAATGATTTTTCTTGTTCCACTTTCATTTATTCATTAATTATGATAAAATGTTCAATTTGTTGTCCTGCCCAGTGTGGCTTAGCGGTTACAGCGTTGTTTCCTAGACCAAAGAGCCACGGGTTCGATTCCAGTCAAGGGCACATACCTCGGTTGTGGTTCATCCCTGGCCCTGGTCGGGGTCATGCGGGAGGCAACCAGTTGATGTGGCCCTCTCATATCAATGTTTCTCTTTCTTTCTCCCTCTCTCTCCTTCTCTTTCCCTTCCTCCCACTCTAAAGATAAATGGAAAAATAGCCTCAGGTGAAGATTTTTAAAAAATGTTTAATTTGTTAATTATTACAATGCACAGTTGTAGAGGTAAAAAGCACACAAAAGTCCAGATGGGTTTTCATCTGCCTGGAGCATGTAGCATGTCCTGGCATGAGTCACTCAATTATAAGAGTTTGAACTATGGGGGTGACAAGTTTTAGGGGTTGAGAATACTAAAGGGGAATAGGATGCTCCTATGGTTTTGTGAAAGAGGCCAATTAAACATCATAGTAATTTTTTGAAAAGACATGCAGAGCAGTACAAGAGAAACAATTTTGTCTATTCAAAGAAGCTTTCCTTGATTAACACAATTTACATAATCTTTCTCTTCTCATGCACTATTTCAAATATACTCCATATGAATGATGAGAAAATGAGTACAAAGACAAAAGAATGCTACACTTCTATCAAATTTAGGTTTATTACAAGAAAATACAGAAGAAAGATTAAAATTTTTTATTTTTATTTTTTGGTTAAGAGAGGAGGGGAGATGAAATTTCTTAGATGTTTATATCAAAATGGATAAGATTGCCCAGAGAATGTTTCTGAACTGAGAAGAGGGTCCAAGACACAATCAAAAGGAACATATACATTTGAGGCATAGATAAGAGAAAGAAGTAAAAAGAAATTTGATAGAAAGTATTTCCACAGAAGCCAAAATAACAGGGCCTTTCAAGAAGGGAAATGAACAGAACATATAGATTTTTTTTTTTCTTTTTCATCTGGATTGTGAACAGAAGGAGAATAGTTATTAGAAGAGAACAGAGAGGTATAAGGGAATTTTTAAAAGTGTAATAACTTGTAAATGCATTTATGTAAAGTGGAGAAGGAAAGATTGAGAAAACAGGAAAAGAAGAAGAATAACAGAGAAAAGTCCCATAGGAAATTAAAGAAGTATGGGATAAAGTAGAGAACTAGCCTTGAAACATTTTAATAAAGCTGTGAGTGAATGAAAGGGATTAATTGAAGAATTGAGATAAAGGGAGTTAAGTGATACAGCAGGAAGAATACCACGGTTTGGTTACACTTCCAATGAATTGTAATTTTCTAATGAGGAATAGTTCTGGATTACGGGGAACAGGATGTGGCATAGAGTGGGATGTCAAGGAAAAGTGTGGGTGATGTTTGCTAAAGTCAAGAAATTCAAGGAAGTTTGAGATAAGGAATTTTAGAGTTGATAATCTCGTGTGAAAATAAACCTGTGATGGTGACAAGAGTTGTGATTTTTTTGTTTCAACTCTGAACTGCCACGGATTCCCTGAAAGTGTCATTTTTTCCCCTCTCCTGTGTCCTATAAACTAGGAACTGGCTTGATTAAATTGATGCTAAGTCAGATGTGGTTAGCCTTAGTTAGGCATCAAATTCCCATGGTAGCAAGCTTTATTCCCAGGTTATAATAGTGAATGAAAATAGTGTAATGAAAATCAGTGGATTCCGCAGTTTATCATTACTAAAGGTAACAATAGAGAATGATATTGGTATGTTCTTGGATATTACTAAAAGAATATTTAAAGATATATGTTAGTGGTGGAGATGTTCCACTTATTTTATTAGACTGAGAATAGTTTGTTTTTTAAAGATATTGTTATGTACTGTTTCTCTTTTTAGCATACCAATGTGTTTGTTGGTTAACCAGCATCTTGATCTTCTAGCAAGAAAGTTTCCAGAAACTAAATTTGTTAAAGCCATAGTGAATAGCTGTATTCAACACTACCATGACAACTGTTTACCAACAATTTTTGTTTATAAAAATGGTCAGATAGAAGGCAAATTCATTGGAATTATAGAATGTGGAGGGATAAATCTCAAGCTAGAAGGTAATTATGTAAAAAACAAAACAAAACAAAAAAAACAGGTGAAAACTTCACTGAATTAACAAATATCTTGAAATTTTATTTCCATAAAACATAAGGTTTTTTCCCTTTTCTTCCAGTCTCTTTTTGTATGCCTCCAGGTTAATTTCCTACAATAATACTCTTATCATAACACCCACTTGCTTAAGTCTTTATTGGTTCCTTGTTCCAAATAAGTTAAAAATTCAGAATCTTCTGCCTGAGAATTTCAGCCCTTATCTAACTATATTTCTCTAGGCTTTCTAGTTTCTGGACCAGACAAGCTGGTCTTCAACCACTAGCCCAGACACATTCATTTGTTCTTTTTTTTTTTTTATCCTCACCTGAGGACTTTTTTTTTTTTTTTTGGCATTTGTCTTCAGACAGAGCAGAAGGGAGAGAGGGAGAAAGAGAGAGAAAGAAACATCAATGTGAGAGAGACACATCGACTGGATGCCACCCACATGACCCCATCTGGGGCTGGGGACAAACTGCAACTGAGGTACGTGCCCTTAGTGGGAACCGAACCTGGGTCTCTCTGGTCCGCGAGCCGATGCTCTAACTGCTGAGCCAAACCAGCCAGGGTTCATTTGTTCTTTTATACTTTGTCTCATACTCTTCCCCTTTACCCAAAATACCCTAATCTTCTTCATACTTGCTTCTTCATGCTTGCTTCTAAATCCTATTCCTTCATGGTTCTCCTAGTTTTTCATTTATGCCATGATATGATATTGGACCAATTCATAACCTGTCTTCCTGTTCTCTACTGAATTTCTATAGCATATATTCTCTGCAACTTTTTTCACTTACCTGATTTTGTTGGTTAATTAATTCCCTTTGGATTTTATCTCTCTAACAAGTACAAGAACTGTACCTCTTGTTATTTTCTTATTCAGAGTACATAATACAGAACTTTATATTTTTACCTTCTTTAATGACTTTTACTTCCTGACCTAGTGCTGAGGCGATATCATTCATCAAGTCATTTCTTTGAACTGCATTAATTTTATATAATAAGAAATCTTTTCCTCTTAAAAGCCATTGTGAGCAGTTGTTTTTAATAGCTAGTTTATCCACTCTTGTTCCCTTAAAACTGTTTTTGGCCTTACTGAGATCTCTAGTACTTTAATTATTGCAGAATCACCCCTCTCCTTCTAAGGCCCTCTTTGGTTTTATCACCCTGTTTTTTTCAGCTTGTACCTCATTCCTTTATTTTAAACAAATTTTAAAATAATCGTTAAAACAATAATATAGCAATCATTCATATAATTACCAAAAAATAATAAATGTGAACATTTGTTCATTTTGCTTCAACTATTTTTGTTGCTGCTGTTGTTGTCTTATTGCTAAAAAGACATTATTATAGCTGTGGTTGAAGTTACCTATATTTTCATTCCTACACCATTCCCCTCCCTTCCTTTCTACAGGCAATCACTATCATGAATAATGTGTTATCTGCTCCATACTTTTTTATTAGTGTATTTAAAATACTTTTAAATTGTCATAAAATGCACATAATATACCATCATAACCATTTTTTAATATATAATGCAGTATTATTAACTATAGTTCCCATGATATACATTACATATCCAGGACTTTATTTTGTAGATAAGTTATTTAACATTTGAAAGTACATAATTCACTGGCATTATGTGCATTCACATTGTGCTCCCACCACCATAATCCATCTCTACAACACTTTTCATCTTGTATAACTGAAACTCTACCCCAGTTCAACAGCTCCCCATTCTTGTCTCCCTCTAGCCTCTGGCCATTACCATTCTACTTCTTGCCTCTATGAATTTGCTTACTCTCAGTACCTCATATTAGAGAATCATACAGTATTTTTTCTTTCGTGACTGACTTATTTCAAGTAGCATGATGTCCTCAAGGTTCATCCATGTTGTGTCAGAATTTCCTTCCTTTTTAAGGCTGTATCATCATATTCCATTGTATATTTATACCATATTTTGTTTACCCATTTATCTATTGATGCATGCTTGGGTTGCTTCTATCTTTTGGCTATTGAGAATAATGCTGCTATGAACATGATGTACAAATAACTAGTTCTAGTCTCTGTTTCAATTCCTTGGGTATATGCTTAGAAGTAGAATTGCTGAATCATATGTAATTCTATTTTAATTTTTTGAGCAATAGCATACTGTTTTTCATACTAGCTGCATCATTTTATATTTCCCACCAACAGTGTACAAGAATTTCAGTTTCTCGCCCTGGCCAGTTTGGCTCAGCGGTTAGAGCGTCGGCCTGCGGTCCGGAGAGACCCGGGTTTGGTTCCCGCTAAGGGCATGTACTTCGGTTGCAGTTTGTCCCCGGCCCTGGTTGGTCGTGCGGGTGGCAGCCACTCGATGTGTCCCTTCACGTCGATGTTTCTCTCTCTCTCCTTCCTCTCTCTCCTAAAAAAAAAAAAAAAAAAAGAATTTCAGTTTCTCCACATTTCACCAACGCTCGTTATATTCTATGTGTGTTTTTTTTTTTTTTTTTTTTTTTTTTTTTAAATAGTAACCATCCAAATATGTGTGAGGTGTTTTCCCCACTGATTTTTTATTTTTTTCTGTGTTATTTTTTATGGTTCAAAAATGCATCAGTTTCTTTCTGAAGTCTCTACTATGTTCACTGGTCTGTTTGCTGATCTCTGAACCAATACAGCATGGTCTTAATTACTATCGCTTTATAGCAATCTAGTTGTATCTAGTAGGGCAAGTCTTTTTAAAAAGTTCATATAGCCCTGACTGGTTTGGCTCAGCGGTTGGAACGTCAGCCTGCGGACCAGAGATGCTAGGGGCATGTACCAAAAAAAAAAAGTTCATATAAATGTTGAAATTAGTCAAGTTCTGTGAAAAATTTGTTGATTATTTATTAGATTAATTATTGGAGATTTGATATCCTAATAACAGTGAATATTACTATCCATGAATGAGATGTATCTTGTCATTTATTTTGGTCTCTTTTACTGTTTTTTGTTTTTTTTTATCATTTTCCTCATAAAAATAACATATGTATATATATGTTATATATTGTAACATGTTTTGTGATTTTCCTTATAGGTATATTTTGTAATTTTCCTCATAAATGTTCTGTTCACCTACTCAATACTAGGAAATAAATTTGACAAAATAATGAATTTGCAGGGATGGGAGAATTTTTGATGATCAATTCAATTCTTTTCAGTTTTTCTCTTGGGTTTATTTCATATTTTTGTTGAAATTTTCCCATTAAAGTTTTCAAATGTATTGGCATACGTTTTTTTTGTTTTTTTTTTTTTGATATTTTGTTCAGATAGAGTGGGAGGGGGAGAGAGAGAGAGAGAGAGAAACATCGACGTGAAAGGGACACATCGAGTAGTTGCCACCTGCACAACCCAACCAGGGCCGGAGACACACTGCAACTGAGGTACGTGCCCTTAGCGGGAACCGAACCCGGGTCTCTTGGGACCGCAGGCTGACGCTCTAACCACTGAGCCAAACCGGCCAGGGCTGGCATACGTTTTTTTAAAAGTAGTCTCAGAGTTTTAAAATCTTAACTTTGGTAATGTCCCATGTAAATTCTTGATATTATTATTATTTTTCTTGTCATCATTTTGCCTGTGTGTCTGTTAGTCTTTTCAAACCACCAGCTTTTGATTCTGTTGGTCACCTCTCTTTACTTTGTTTTCCTACTTTTGCTAAAGTCTTTTTCAGCATCTTCGGTTTATTTCATTGTTCTTTTCCTAATTTCTTGATTTGAACTTTTAAACTCATTTTCAATCATTTTAAAATAAAAATTTTAACCATAATTTCTCCCTTTAGCCCTGGCCGGTTTGGCTCAGCGGTTAGAGCGTCCGCCTGCGGTTCGGAGAGACCCAGGTTCGGCTCCCGCTGAGGGCATGTACCTCGGTTGCAGTTTGTCCCTGGCCCTGGTTGGTCGTGCGGGTGGCAGCCACTCGATGTGTCCCTTTCACATCGATGTTTCCCTTTCTCTCTCTTTCTCTCTCTCCTTCCCACTCTATCTGTACAAAAGGTGGAAAAATGTCCTCGGGTGAGGATAAAAAAGAAAAAATAATAATTTCTCCCTTTAAGTATAATTTATCTGTATCCAATGTGTATTTTGATATTGTAGTGCTTTCATTGTTACCCAGTTCTAAATATACCCTTTCCACATTAATTTTATTAGAGTCAAGTTTTGTTTCATATAGATGAGAAATTATTTTTCTTTAATTTTCTAAGATTTCAATCTAATTTAATAATGGGTTATTTATTGCAGAACTTGAATGGAAGCTAGCAGAAGTTGGAGCAATACAGACTGATTTGGAAGACAACCCCAAAAAAGGCATTGTAGATGTGATGGTATCTTCAATAAGAAACACTTCTATTTATGATGACACTAATAGTTCAAACAGTGATGATGATGATACCAAATAGAGGGACATGCTTAATAAATAGCTTTAAAGTATTTATGTACTGAATGTTTTATTTGTCACTGCCTTTATAATCAGAGAGCAGAAAATTTATAGATTTATTTTCAGTTTCATATTAGAATTGTAGCTTAGACATCATTTCAAAAACTTTCAGCTATTTCAGAAATTGCCTCCAAGAAAACCAGAATTTATACTGAACCATTAAATTATTTTTCTGTGACTTATCCTTTTTCTGACCCATGTTGGACAAAAACACTGATATTACAAGTGTTGCCCACTCCCTTCCAAAGAGAGGCCTATGAATGAAAATGAGGAGAGAATCATGAAATTTCATGCATGTTAATAAATTTTTATTTTATTATTATTATTTTTTAATCCTCACCCGAGGACATTTTTCCATTTTTTGTTCAGATAGAGCGGGAGGGAGAGAGATGAAGAGAGAGAGAGAGAAACATCGACGTGAAGGGACACATTGAGTGGCTGCCACCCATACGACCAACCAGGGCCGGGGACAAACTGCAACCGAGGTACGTGCCCTTAGCGGAAACCGAACCCGGGTCTCTCTCTACCGCAGGCCGACGCTCCAGCCGCTGAGCCAAACCAGCCAGGGCACATGTTAATAAATTTTAAAGTCTATTATTTAGGGGCCTTGAGTAAAAATACTTAAATTTATGACCATATGCGTTTTCTTTGAAATTTCTTACCTATTAAAAAAATTAACCACTCAATATAAAAATGCAATTTAAAGATTCTAAAAAGTACATAAGAAATATATCCACTTATTATTCTTTTTAATAGTTCTATTAAGTTAGAAAATTAATAAGTACTATCATTAATAGACTATAGAATCATTAGAATTGTATGACATGTAAGTTTCTAAATTAGGAGAAGAAAAATATTTTGTAAAGCCTACCTATGTTTTAATAGTAATCCCAGAATAATTCATCACAGGAAAACATACAATATTAGGATACTGCAGAAGACCGTAGGATGTTTTATCTTGTTTTAATAATGAATACCATTTTTTGTTTTGTTTTGGTTAATCATCACCGGAGGATATTTTTTTTCCATTGATTTTTAGGGAAAGTGGAAGGGAGAGGGCATATAGGGAGTGGGGACAGAGAGAGAGAGAGAGAAAGAAACATGGATGTGAGAGAGAAATGGATGTGAGAGACACATCAATTGGTTGCCTCCCTCACTTACTCCAACCAGGCTGTGGATGAACCTGCAACCCAGGTACATGCCCTTGACCAGGATTTGAACCTATCACCCTTTGGTGCATGGGCTGATGCTCTAACCACTGAGCCACGCCAGCCAGGGCATGAACACAGTTTTTAGAGAAAAGGGTGGTAAATCCAACATATAATAATTCAATAACAGATTTTATTTTTTTCCTTTTCTGTATTGATGACCCATCATTCTGATTATAGTTGTTTACTGATTTTGTAAGAGAATGTAGACTAAGTTTAAATAATTAGATGACAAAAATAAATTGGTGAGAATTGAGGCAATTTAACGTGGAGTTAAGAAAAGGTTCACTGCTGCTCTTTGGAATAGGTAGGAATCATAGAGGCTGCACAGAATGATGAAGTAGAAGAAAAGTTAGATACAGATTTGAGTAAGGTAATGATAATTTATTTCACCAGGTAGGGTAAAATCAAGTGATCTAGCTTTGGAAACAACCCTTTCTTCTGAGATAGCAAAGAAGGGCTCTAGAAAATATACAGCTTGGGATGAAGGGAAGGAAAGTTGGGAGTTGCACATGCTGGTCTTTATTTTAGCTTTCTGCACACATATAAGAGAATGAATTACCTGCACTGGTCCAGCTCCTGAAATTCTCTTTAACAAACAAATGTATAAAATTCTATTCAAGGGGAAACCATTGTGGAAATGAAAGGGAAAGCCATATATATAATCATGAACTTAAAGTGTAAAGCTAATGCCATCTAATGCATATAAATATGCCCATTTTTCCTCTCCAATTGAAACCAACTGCAGAAAGTCCTCCAAATGTAATACTTTTTTAGTAAACATATATTTATCTATTTTCTTTTTAAATTAAAATGAACAGAGGAAGTACTAATAAATAGTATTTAAGATATCTGAATAAAAAGATGCATATTTTCCTTTCAACTCTTAGCTCAAATCCACCAGGTGGCAGTAAGTTTTTATCCACAAGCACAGTTCATGAAGACTTTAACATTTGTAAAAATTCTAAAAATATAGCATGTTAGAGGTGGCTGGTTGTGATTCCAGCCCCAACCTTTTTCAAATGCACACGCACACACACACACACACACACACACACACACATTCTTCTACTGAGTATTTCTGCCTGTCGACACAGGTCAGTACTACTTCCTTATGTTACTTCATTTATACATTCTCATTTAAGTAGAGCATAAATATTTGTTAGAATGTGGAGGCATTATTTAATTCCAATATTGTGTTTCCCATTTTATGATTTTTTAATTTGATAGGATACAAACAAAGGTTATTTTTTAAATTGTTAATATTCAACTGTTTTTGACCTACAAAAGTGGATATTTCATATGTTCCAACCTAATATATTCTTTTCTCTATTCTTTGCTGCCATCTGCTCTGTTGAAACTCCCTTCCCTACTTTATAGTGCCTTGTTTGTCACAGTGTGGTCCTGAATCACCAGCATCCCCAGGTAGCTTGTGAGAAATGCAGAATCTCTGGCCACATCCCAGACTAGCTGAATTGGAAATTTTGTTTTAATGATATCCTTAGATGATTAAGCAGCACTGGGTAGCAAATCCCTTAAAGACATCTTGAACATATTATTTAACCTCTTCCTCCACAGTCCTGGTTATTAGAAGTGTGTCTGGTTTAAAACTCCACTCTCAGTTCCAAGGCAAGTGTTCTCTGGCTGAACTTGTGACTCAGGAACTCTGAAGACAGAAAATGGGGTTTGTTTTTAACCAGTTTTTTCCCTCTCTTTTCAAGGCCCATTCTCTCTGGTGTGGAGTGGGGACTTGGAGGGAAATTAGGGAAGAAAGGGACACCTTTTTCTCCACTGGTTAAGTACAATCCATGTTGCATCTAAATGTTCACTTATTAATGGGCACAGAGTTCTGTGAACTCTGAGGCAGCCTCTCCGCTGCACAGTTCCTTGACATGGGAGATAAGCCGACAGCTCTCTCTTTTAAACTCTCTCAGTTCCCACTTTCAGAAGTATACCCAGCCTCTTGCTGCTAGAATTTCTTTCCCCCTTAGATGTCAAGATGGTTCAAACCTGAATGGCACTTTGTGCAAAGCATCAGTAGACCTAGGAGAAATCCTTGCCATGCCAAACTGTAGGAGTGCACATTGCTTTGCTCAGCCTACTCCGTAGCCAGCTGTTTCTCTCCAAGTTTCTATTCTCCTGTTTAGGTAGGTGCATGGCATATCAACAAATTTGCCAGTGGATGAGATGCCAGTCTCTCCTTACAGTTACTCTAGTTTTTCTAGCTGAATTCTATTAGAGTCTTGTTTATTTAACTTGGAGTAGGATAGGAGATAAATCAAAAGGATAAGCCACAGTACTGTCCAGGAACCTGACTAAATTCAAGAATTCTCCCATCCTCCTCTTCCCAAGTGTTCTGCTTATATGACCCGAGAGTGAGGGTTGTAGGTCGTTTTGTTCAGCCTTTGTCCTAGCCAAAGGACTAGGTATCTGGCCCCAAGTTTTGGCAGCTATTTAGAAGGTGAGTTGTTCTTGCTCTTTGTTCCATATTTTGGACCTCACTCAGCATCCTCTTATATAGGTGTTAGCTGTGTCCATTATAGTGTTATATACTCTTGGGGGTCCTCAAATAGTCGATTACTAGCACAGTACTAGTACTAATTACTATCACATTTTACTGATTTCAGTTTATTTCTCCCTTGTGCTTTAATATACATTAGTAAGGCTACCTCTTGACAAGAAACATCTGTAACAAAAATTAAAAAAATCATGGTGTAGTATTTCCATGAAAGAAAAAAAGAATAAAGAACAGAAAAATTATATAAGCTTATGTCTTAGAATATGTAATCTGTGAACTATGTTTGTGTTCATGGGAGACAAAATACACTATCCACAGTAATGAAAATGTATGAGATTATTAAATGGGTAACATACATGGATTTTTTAGAGAGAAAGGACTGGGCTAGAGTTTAGTTTTTCCAACTGTCTCTCTTCACCTTGTGAGTCATACTGTCATCAATGTACTACAAAGTGTCCAAAAAGAATGTTTCCCATATGCTTACTGGGAGGCCAAAGGAATGTGGATGCACATAGTAGGTCTGGGAGAACTTGGCGAACTGAGTTGCCCTGCCATGGAAGGTTGGACGTTACCCTGAGCAGTCCTGACTCCATGGCCCATGTGGTCGCTGTCACCCACTGCACTGTCCTCACTGGACTGTGACTGTTGGACACTTGAATGTTGACATGTCCTTCTCCATGGGAGAGAGACTCCACCGAATGAGACACATGTCTCATCCTCACTTCAATGAGTTTCAGAGGGCAGGAGGTGACATAAAATGCATCCACAGAGGAAGAGCTATCCCAAGGATCGGAAGAGAATCTGAAGAATCAGCATATAAAGGAAGACAAAAGAGGAGAGCATTCCAGAAGGGGGACAGGAGAAGGAAGAAGCATGTGGTTGAGATGACACGGCTTTGAAGGGGACACTGGATGTGAATTGGCCTCACTGGGAAGTGATAAAGCTTACACAGGTGAAACTGTTCAGTTGGGGCCCATCCATCAGATGATGAGATGTGGGACTAAATGATGCTCAAACCCCATTCTGCCCTCACTTTGGCTGAATTTTGGGTTCATAAATGAGATCAATTGTTGGAATTTTGGAGAGAAGTTTTAGGGAGAAAGTAGGATGACAGCCACACCTCCATAGACTCTATCCTGGACAGGCCACGAGGAGAGTGCTGCCCAGTACAGACCCCAAAGGGGAAGAGACAGGTAAGAGCTTGGGGGCTGGGGGTCAAAGAAAGAAAGCTGCTTTCTCTTCTTTTTAAATCCTAGGACAGGGTCAAT